AGAGAGAGAGAGATAGGCCACACCCACTCATGACCCTACAGGGTGTCACACTGTGTAAACAAACTTTGTTGCAATATCGCAGACATCTGGGGCGAGTAGTGGACTACTGTATGTGTGTTTGGGTGTTTGCGTGTGTGTGAGAGAGGGAAATGTTGAATCACGTAATAAGCAATGATCTCTCTCTCTCTCTGTCTCCGCTAGTATATTAGAGACCCCCATGAAGCTCAGATTATAACTCGAACCCTGGCCAGTACGAACCACTACGCAGTACCGGCACCTCAACACATTACTCTTTGGTGTACCGTGATCTTTTCTTGCATACTTCTCACACTTGGCACTTCTCCCAAGCTACCGGTCCTCTCCTCCGCCCTCTCCATATCAGGTTCTCTGGGCACTAAGTGCCTCACCTGTTCTCGTTCTCGCCTGCCTGCTAATCTCTGTCGACAGAGAGAGAGAGAAGGGAGATGAGAGCAGCCGTGGGCAGAAAGTAGCTTGTCAATGTCACAGCCTGGGTGAGGCAGGACATTTAAAATATATTTATAATATATAATATTTAATATAAATATTGACAGATAGGCGTCATGGACGCTGGGGACATGGCTCCATCGCTGAAAGCTTTTGTTAAAACTGTTCTGAAAAACAGCAACAAGAAATGTTAAATAACAAATGAATGCACAATAAGAAATGCAAGTAACTTAAGCTAAAACAACAAGCTGCTGATTACTGCATTATATTCCATAATTATTCAAAATACTGTTAAAATATCTTCTTGTCTTGACCCAAGTGTGCCGTCACACTCCTAATTTATTTATTTATCTCCACTGGTAACGTTATAGTAGGCTATTCAGAGACCCCTACAAAGCTCAGATTATAACCATTGTGAACCCTGCCTAGGAGCGGTAGTTGTGGGGAAATTCTGATTGTGAAATTCTAATTGTTGAGTATTCTGCCTTCTTGTAGACCATGAATGGAGTCCTATATGCGGCTCCAGTAGGGGACTCCATATTTCTGCTCGGGAGACTTCAACGCGCATGGCAATTAGCAATGACAGAGACACCTGGTGAGGCGTGATTAGGAGGAAGGCCTCCCTGATCTAAACCCGAGCGGATGTTTTTTGTTAGACTTGCTTGTGCTAACCATAGATTATTTATAATAAACACCGTGTTCGAACACAAGGATGCTCATAAATGTATGTGGTACCAGAGTACCCTAGGCCGAAGGTTGATGGTTGATTTTATGATTGTGTCATCTGTTCTAAGGCCGTGTAATTTGGTCACTCGGATGGAGAGAGGGGCGGAGCGGTCAACTGATCACCATCTGGTGAGTTGGGCCAGGCAGTGGGGGAAGACTCTGGACAGACCTGTTAAGGCCAAAGGGGTAGTGCAGGTGAACTGGGAACATTTGGAAGAGGCCCCTGTCTGAGAGATCTTCAACTTACACCTCCAACAGAGCTGTCATCCCTGTGAAGGTTGGGGGCATTGAGCCTGAGTGGGAAATGTTCAAAACTTCCATCCAAGCTATATACAGTAAGGATGGGATGCTGTTTACCTCTACCGAGGAGGTAATTGGGCAATGGAAGGAACACTTTGAGGAACTTCTGAATCCCACTGACACACCATCTATGGTAGAGGCATAGCTGGAGGCTGATGTGGGATCATCGTCAGTTTCCCTGGTGGAAGTCACTGAGGTAGTAACAACTCCACACTGGCAATACCCTGGGGATTGATGAGATCCTTTCAGAAATGCTGAAAGCTTTGGATGTGGAAGGTATGTCTTGGATGACACGCCTCTTCAACGTTGTGTGGAAGTTTGGAACAGTGCCCAACGAGTGGCAGGTGATTCCCCTGTTCAAAAAGGGGGACCAGAGAGTGTGTGCCAATTACAGGGTTATATCATTTCTCCTTTTCCTGTGAGTAGCCCAAAGTCTACTCCAAGGTGCTGGAGAGGAGGGTTTGTCCGATAGTCGAACCTCAGATTGAAGAGGAACAATGCAGATTCTGTCCTGGTTGGCCTGGGAGTATGCCTATCTGGTCTACATGTGTTTTGTGGATCTAAAGAAGCCGTATGATGTTGTGGGATTATGGGGTGAGGGGGTCAGATTACTGTATGTCCAAAGCGAGAGCTGTGTGCAGATTCAGTGTAGTAAGTCTTTTTCTGCTGCGCTTTCTTACCAGTCCTGTTTGTGATATTGATGCAAAGGATGTCAAGGCATAGGGGGGTTTTGGTTCGGTGGTCTGGAGATATCATCGTTGCTTTTTGCAGATTATGTGGTCCTGTTGGCATCATCGGTCAGCAATCATTGGTTTGCTGCCCAGTGTGAAGTGGCCAGGATGAGCATTAGCTCCAAATCTGAGGTGCTCACTCTAGGTAGGGAATCAGTTTTTACCCCAAGTGAGGGAGTTCAAGTATCTCAGGGTATTGTTTCACAAGTGAGGGGACAATGAAGCGGGAGATTGGCATTCGCTCTACCAGACCTACCAGATCTACTAGTCAATTTTTGTTCCTAGCCCCACCTATGGTCATGAAGGTTGGGTCATGACCAAGAACTAGATCGCGGGTACAAGCGGTCGAAATGAGACAGTGGCTGGCGTCTCCCTTAGAGATTAGGTGAGAAGCCCAGTCATCCGTGAGGAACTTGGAACAGAGCCACTGCTCATTTGTGTCGAAAGGAACCAGTTGAGGTGGTTCGGGCATCTAGTAAGGATGCCCCGCTAAGCGCCTCCCTAGGGAGGTGTTCCAGGCAGCTCCAGCTGGGAAGAGGCCTTGGGGAACACCCAGGAGTAGGTGGAGAGATTATATCTCCTCACTGGCCTGGGAATGCCCCGGGAGCTGATTAATGTGGCTCCGGAGAGGGAGGTCACCTGCTGGAGCTGTAGATAAGCGGTTGTCCCAGCCTTGTCACACTTAAACATTGGGATGCTAACCAAAGGTCTTCACAAGGCTGGACCACGTCCCATAGCAAAATGTTTGCACCTCGCTTTAGACCTCTTAAAATGCTGAATCAGTGCCCTCCACTGGTTCCATACACATCCATACCCGGTGATTCCAGAGGACACCAGAAGTGTTTCAGGAGTGGATAATTTTGCCTGCCCAACGCTGTTGACTTGTTGTTCATTTGTCCTTTTTGCGCTTCTACTCATCTTCTACACAGCTCTCTGTGACCTGGTTTGGTTCTGTCATCTGCGAGGCTTTATACACCACAGGGAGAATTTTAGAGTTTTTTGCCTTACTGATTTTGACGAATTGCTCAGATTTTGTTGATTTGGTAATTAGTCTTTGATTTCTGTGCTTAGTTAACTGCTTCTACCCTCAACTACCATCCATCTGAACAGGCAACCATGTCTGACATTTCCATTATTTCCGCCGACACTCTTAAATGCAGCAAGACCAATCTGTCTGGTCATCACAGAGATGGGGAAAGTGGCTTCTGGTTTCACCACCACCTTCAACAAATCTAATCCAGATCTAGAATGTCCCCCAAGCCATACTCTGGGTATTCGTTCCGTATCGAAGCTGCCTCTACCACTTCCAGGCAGGGAGTCCTTGACCACATAATTGAAATGGTTGCTGGTCCTCTCCAGCACACCTCAATTATAGAACAATATCGGAAACGCCCATGTGCACCTGTCCACACTTGTCCACATAGCGTCGGCTCCCCTACTCAGAATCTTGACTTCCACCAGTTCCTGTCTGTCTTCAGCAGACATCGGTCTTGCTGTGGTTTGGACTGCGGACCAGATTTCTCCACTCATCCCTCCATCCCTCACTCTTCTTCCCTGCACCCCGGGGGTAAAGGGGTGCAGGGAAGCCAATGGTGTCGAAGGCCAGGCGAATAAACTCCAGTCACCTTTGGAGTGTATTCAGCTTAGTCTCTCTGGCACTGAACAGCTCAGTTCTGGGGTGCTGGGCAGCTCAGTCTCTGTGGTGCAGGACAGCAGGACATCCAGGGAGCTCCAGAGTTTTCTAAACTTTAAGGATTTTAAGAAATCAATGTGTGCAAATTAGTCTTAAATGCTAAGTCACGATGACTCAAAAAACATTATTGGCCAATAACTACTAAATTATTTCAGTATATGAAAAAAACATACACAAGCAAACCCCCAAAATATTTAGTGGTTTATATTTTTATATATACAAAATATCTGTTTCCCACTCTTTATGCCAATATGTTAAATTAACCAACCAGCGATACACAGGATGATGTGTCAATGGTTGCCAAGCAGCAGTTGACCTGTCAGCAGGTGATGCTGTACTGACGGCCACTGAGGGACCAAATAAAAGTGTCTGCTGTTTCACTTCTGTTCTGGGGATGCAGGGAGGTTTGTGTCACAGAAGGTAATGCTGACAGACACTGAAATATCCTCAGCCCCTGCCTCACTGTGTATTTCAATTAGAAGATGTGTTTATCTAAATGTAACTTAGCTTTATGTTTCTAGAAATAGAAGTTATATTATGTTGTGAGAAGAATATAACATATGCTGTAGCAGTTTCTAAAATACTTGTGTTGAGAAAGAAATCTAATCTAATCTAATGTTTTGTGGCTTCAATCTTCAGTCTGACATGAGAGGTGAATGGAATTTTGTTTGTACTGTAAAAAGGATAAATGCCTGATGTTGGGCTGGGAAAATGTATTAGACTTGACTCTTCATATGTCCCTGTTACATTCTCCAAAATTTCTTATTGCCATTTTAAGTGAAAAAATATTTTAAACAATGTTTAATTATATTAATTAGGCTAAAAACAAACTCACATGTGACTTCATATTTTAAACTGTTGAATTCAGAATAACAATTAAGACTAACTAAAGTCTTTGTCAAATAACAAGATGTTATTATAATGTGGAAATATTTTAATTCACTGTGATAACTTCATTAAGTTATTTATATAGATTAATTGTGAAATCTCGTTGCTTTTCTGTTACTGTAACTCTTTAACTATATCTGTGGGCAGCTCAGTTGTTATCCACACAGACATTTTCATTGCTACGTGACCGATGACAAATGGAAAACCAGACTTTCAGTGGGGATATTCTAATCCTGGAGGGGTTAATGGTCAGCCCCGACTCCTCCATTCCTGCATTTGTCTTCCTCCTCCTCATCTACATCTTCATTATGGTGTCCAACATCGGCCTGGTTATCCTGACCTTCATGGAGAGGAGCCTCCAGCAGCCCATGTATCTGCTGCTCTGCAACATGAGCATTAATGATGTTTTGGGGGCCACGGTAGTTATACCTCCTGTACTCAGAGATCTTTTAATGTCAAACTCAGAGCGGTACATTCGATACAGTGACTGTGCCATTCAGGCCTTTTTTGTTCACCTCTATGCAGGTGCCTCTCACACTGTGCTCATGATCATGGCCTTTGATCGCTACATGGCCATCTGCAACCCTCTGCGTTATGCCACCATCATGACCACCAGGATGGTGGTGATGCTGTCGGTGTGGGCCTGGGGAGCAGCCTTTGTGCTGGTAGCGATCCTCATAGGCCTCAGCGTCCGTCTGTCACGCTGCAGGTCAGTTATATTGAACTTGTTCTGCGATAATGCCACCTTGTTCAAGTTGTCCTGTGAAAATGTGTTCATTAATAACATCTATGGTCTCGGCTACACGGTGCTTCTGCTGGGCTCCTCCATTGGCACCGTTTCTCTGACCTACCTGAAAATTGCTGCAGTGTGTGTGCGCAGTAAAAACAGGGTGCTGAACAGCAAAGCGCTGCAGACCTGCACCACCCACCTAGCTGTGTACATCATTTTGCATGTGTCTGGCTTCATCATTGTGATCCTGCACCGTTTACCAGATAGTTTCCTGACTGAGAAGAGGACATTGGCAGTTGTCCTTGGACATGTTGCCTTGCCTGCCCTGAATGCTGTTATCTATGGGTTGCAAATGAAAGAGGTCAGGCAGAGGATTATGGCTTTGTTCCATAACAATAGAGTAGCTCTACTGGATGTAAAATGATACACAGTGTGTACAAAACTTATACAATATAATAATATTTGAGAGGAGTGAACTTATTTCTGCATGGATGTTGATGAAATTATTTCAATGTTTCAAAATGCAGGAGAGTAGAGGAATAATAATAATAACCATAACATCGTCATAACTACCTGTTACTTACTTTGAGGTAAAAAGATTTAATCCAACCCACTGTTGTACATTTTATTGATCAGTGATGTTTCACATAAAATAATGATTTCAATCCAGTATAATGCATGCATTATTTTGGAATTGAAACGATTTACTTTGGCAAGAAGTATTAAAAAATATATGGACATGTTTCATGTCATCGATAATTAATTTTTTTTTAATTAAGTCTGAAAAAATCAGAAAAAGATAATTGACCAGGGGCCAAGATTTTAGTCTTCAGTCTCAGTCATCTTAATGCGTGCAATTGGTGGCATGCAGTGGCAGTAAAATGTATGAAACTGATTACTTTTAAATAAAGTGTTGATAAACAACTTGCAGGCAGGAAACTGGCTGCATTCATTTTTAAGTAGGTTATCCAATTTCCAGAGTTTGAACCCACAACCTTCTTGCTGTGAGGTGACAGTGCTAACCACTGTACCACATATCAACAGATATCCCTGCAGAAAATTTGTAAAAATGTCAGATTCATCACAAACTGACTTGTAAGACACATATTAGATATTTAGCTGCACCAGCTGTTTATCTCCATCAACAAATGAACTAATTTTTACACAGCAGCCGTGGATGGAAACTGGCCTTTCGCTGTTGACAGTGTTTCTGGAAGGAAACTGGTAATAATGTGGGAGAGATAATTATCAACTTCTTTATTGGGAGGTTACCTTGTTTTTACACATCTTTTTTCATTATCGTATTTAGTTAGTTATTTAGTACAACATTCCTTTTTTAAAAAAAGATTTCATAATAGGCTACAATATTGTTTTACTGTGCAGTGTAGGCAAGGGTGTCACTTTGTGATGAAAAATGGTGGGGAGGTAAGGGCTCAGATTAGGGGAGTGATGTTGCACTTGGGTCACAAGACATGACACTGCGCGAGAACAAGATGAGGAGATTTTTAACAATATGTTGAAGAAATATTAATTTAAGAAATATGACTGTTCTGCTCCAATTTACAGTGGAAATGTCTATTTATTAAAGGTAATCACAAAATGTAGCTGGCAGGGGACAATTCATAAATCTAAAAATACAACAGTATATAATGCAGTAATCAGCTGCTTGTTTTTTAGCTAGCTGTTTCTTCTATATTTAAATTGCGTTGCATGTTTTCTTAATGTGCAAATAAACCTTTCTCAAAGCATTTTCATTTGTTAGTTAACATTTCTTGGTGAAAGCAATTTTTCAGAACTTTTTAACAAATTCTTTTAAAAAGCAATGGAGACAAAATCAGCCATTTCAAAATGTGGTGGGGACATGTCCTCAGCGTCCCCAATGTAAATGACACTTTTGAATGTAGGCTATGTACCAATTTCTATGTTTGTCTCTTATTTAAGTTGCAAAAATCATCATTATTTAAATATTATCTGAACTGGTCTATTTTATGCAAAATGCAATCTCTCCAGTATCTATCAAATAGATTCTCCACTGGAACAGCTTCTCTTGGCCGCCTTTTTGTACATGCAGCTTTTGGGAAAACTGATAACCAGTTTCTTTCAGGATTCCTATGATTGTACTCCTATTTTCCAGAGATTTTAGACCATTTACACTTCAATCTAGCTCTGGATCGGTTGTGTCTACACACGACTTCATCTGTTTTCAGCCAGAACATATAGAAATGAATTTCTTGCAATCCACTAGTGTCTTCTTTCTGGTTGAAAGATGAGAAGAAGAAGAACCACTGCAAAATAAACAAAAACATATCATGAATTTTGTTGTTATACTGTACAGGACAACATGGATTGTGCATTGTAAGTTGAAATATTACATTTACTGATTGAGGTGCTACTATTAGTATCTGCATACTGCACCTGTAAACAGTTTACAAGACATGAGAGGGGGAAAGAATGAAAAAACAGAACACAGAACAAGTGTGGCTTCATAAAGCTATCAGGGTTGACAAAGGCAGCGTGAAATGACTTCAGGGAGCTATTGCAGCGCTCTTCGAGATGAGAGGAATTGCACATGCATTTCTAAAACAAGAATAAAAACAAATTCAACAGGTCTAAGGTCCAGTGACCTCACTGTTCCTAAAGTGCAAGAATTCCAATTCCAAGTGCAATTAGCACGGTCCACAGGAGACAAAACAGGAAGGAAAAGGCTTACCTTTTAACAGTGGAACAAGAGCGCCTACTCAATCTTTCTTTAACAGCGACATGTCCGAAGATAATCAGCCAACTCCTGAAGCATGAGAGTCCTCTCCATCTCCTACCAAACAAACTTGTCTGTCATGTCGGCGGTGCTCAACTATCCACATTCCCTGGCATTCTCAGGACTGTCTGTCAATGCCTTCCTAGCAGGTCTTCCAGCTTGTACAGTGAAACCCCTACAAATGGTTCAGAATGCAGCAGTGCTTCTGGTTTTCGATCAACCCAAAATGGCTACCCATGGCCTCCCGAATCCAATTCAAGATGAGGGATATATTGGAGCTGAGATGTATGTGGATAAAAGCCAGTCATGTTTGCCATAAGGAAGCTAAAGTGTCTCTAACCCGGAAGAAAGTGTCTGCAAACTTTGTAGTAGGAGACTCATTCCCTGCATGGATAGTTGACTTCTTCCACACCTCAGCCCATCAGCCTACCAGCTCATCATCGGGACCTCTGCCCGTTAGCCTGGAGTAGGCTAACGCGACGCCATATAGCATTGGGCCGCCAGATCCTATCTGTTTCACGGACTGTAATATTACTTTTCACAGAAACTAGTAGAGTAACAGATTACTATTAATACAGAGTGGTAATACAGATTAATATTATTGCAGTTACTAATTGACGTAACGCTGCGTCCCTGCGTTACTGAACGCACCATCCTCAACGTAAATGTGTGACGGTGCAGCAGATCAATGGCACCGGACCTTATGTTGTTCAAGTCAGCTGTTAGCCAAAAAGCTAAAGGAGTAATGTAGAACAAGGGAGAGAGGCGAGTATCACCATTATTGTGTAAGATGCAAAGAACATTGTCGGCCATTTTAACTTTGTGTGACCAGCAAAAAAACGTGAACAATATTCTATATCTAATTTATTGGAGCATCTGCTAAAGCAGCACGGCAATGCTAAAGTTATAGTAAGAAACTACAGCCACTACTGCCAGAGATGTTTGGACTCGTCGGGAGAGAGGCTTTAAGCAACGTTTTGCAAGCAACGAGTGGAAATTAACTTGCTTTATTTATTTATTTTAGGTGGTGGCGTAAAGAAACTATATATGGGTTTCATAACTGGGTGGTGTTGATGGCGCGGTGGATAAGACTTTGGCATGAGAGACCCTGGTTCAATTCCCCACTGTAACACATCCACCACTCTGTCTCTGAGCAAGATATTTAACCCCTGGTTGCTCCAGAGGTGTGCATTATTGAAGTATTTGGTTTGAACAAGGAGTTACAAATACTCTCCAGGGCAATTGGCCCAGGTGCCCAGAGTTACCGCAGTCACTCTCTTTCACCTGCAAGGGAGTGAGATATTGGCCACACCTACACATGACTCCACAGGGCGTCACACCCAGTAATAAGTAAAGTAATATTAAAGCTGCAAGCAGCGTTGGGCGGGCCCTCGCACTTATAAGCGCGTCCGCGCGTGAGCCGGCCGAGTTGCACATTCTGGAGTTCTGCCGGTGCGGCTGTGAATTTCCTACGCGTTTCCGACGCCGCATGAATGTGCTATTATATGTCACTTCCTGTGTCCCCTATGTGGAGCTACATAGCACTTGCCGCTATGAATATAAATCGGTATTGACGTGTAGATGTCTGCGGGGTGGGAGAGTTATCAAGCACGTAAAGTTTGTTTCAGATGTGAACATGTACACTGAACAATAATGTACCCAAACAATAAAATAAATTCCTTTTATATTTCCCTGCCTTGTTGTTTATGTGTACATACAGAGGAAGAATGTGAGAACAGCACACATTTCATCGTTACTGTGTGTTAGAGCATGGGAGAACAGTGGATACTTTTAATACAGCCCACACCCCTAATACTGTGTAACTATAACAAGTAGAGAACAGAAGAAAAAGATGTTCTTTCTTTACAACTGTCTGCATAGCTTATTCATATTGTGTAATGAATGAAAATAAATAGGCCTACTAGGCTCCTCTCTACTTTGACATTTAAGATTAGCTTGTTTGATCCACCTTCATACACATGTGACATTACTGTACAACTTGAGAAAGGTGAGTTGTTTTCTGCTCCAGCCTGCCTAAAAGAAAAGCGTTTTGGGGATTAAATGGACTTTATTAGCTGCTGCAGTGCAGGATGAACTCAGAATAGACCCATTTCTCACCTTATTATTCTAAATCATGCAACGAAGAAGAAGAAATGCATAAGAAATCCTGGGACAAAATCTGTCCACAAATACTGTACAGCATGTAGTCTGATGATCAAGACTTGTGTTATAGCTGACTTGGGCAGTGAAATGTTTTTTTAATTCATGTGGTCATAGTTGTCCACAACTCAAATCAGAATATAAGAAGAAATGTTTTATACCACCTCAAGAAGGCTTCCTATCAGAAAGGTAGGAAGGTATTTCAAATGTACAACTGCAGTACTTAAATCTAAGTAAAGTAATTTCCCTGACATTTTTGTGTTACTTTACTTTTAATAGACCCATGTAAGAGGTTTTATACTTCCTGTGAGTATAATCCAATCAATCTTATTTTCATACTGTATATCCGTTGTGTAATTTGATAAATTGTGTTGTATGTCGTGCTCGCATCTCAGAGAAGACTCTGACTGCAACATGCGTCTTTGTAAAGAGAGAAACAGACAGAAAAAGTCTCTAACTCTGCCTGTCAGCTCGCTCTGCTCCGTTAAAACTGAATTTACCATACAGAATTGAATACGAGTGCACTCCAGATTTAGCTGCAGCCAGCTGACCGTGTGCTTCTCCCTATACTGCAGTTCTGTGTCCATGCATGCAGCAAACTGAAAGCACTGTCTGTCGGTGCTTCTACGTGAAAAGAGAAGGAAGACATTGCTGGTAGTATTGTCTTCAGAGTTGTTAAACACCTCAGCGCACTGAAGGAAGCCATCTGACTGTGTGAGGGGCAAGATCGTTTATGTCTGCAGGCAGAGTAGGAGCTCTCCTGTCTGACTGGTCCACCAATAGCAGAGAAGATGACCCCTTGAGACACAGCCCCTCCTCATTTGCATAATGAGGCAGAAATGCATACAAAATTTAAGACAGGCAGAAATAAATACCATGGGTGAAAATAAATAAGGTAAATAAATACAAAGGAAGAATAAAACAGACAAAAATATTAAAACACACACATAAAAAATACATTAAAAAAATTAGTAATAAATAAAGTTGAATAAACAAATAAGGTAATTATAACAAAGGTGAATAAGTAAAGGCACTAATTAAAATATATACATTTATGTCTCCTTGTATAATTTAATTACTACCTACATTTATTTATTTACTTAATTTTTTTGTGTATTTAATTGGATGCTTATTTATTTATTGAGCATTTATTTATTTCTGTATTTATTTCTGACTGTGTCAGGATCGGTCCTCCATAGCGGGGTGGGAGAGTTATCAAGCACGAAAAGTTTGGTTCAGATGTGAGCATGTACACTGAAGTTACAACAACTTCCTGTGTCATGGCGAAGACTTGATCTCTGACGCCACGCCACGGACACACCCATTGACGAAAACTCGCAAATAGCACAACTTTTCATATTCAATGCCTTTAGAAGGCACAGCACAAATTTGAAGTCGGTCGGACTAAATCCCTAGGAGGAGTTCGTTAAAGTACGAAGTGTGTAAATCATCCAAAATTTGACGTAAAATTCAAAATGGCCGACTTCCTGTTGGTTTTAGGGCATCGCTCCAAGAGGCTTTTTTGTGCATCTGGACAAGATACACGTACCACAGAAAATTCGTGCACGTAGGTAAAACGTGCGGCGGGGGCTGCTTCGTTAAAAT